ATCGTATCTTCGTCAATTTATGATGAATTAATTTGGAATTGGATATACAACTTCATTTTATTATACTAAAGGCAATAATGCAATAAAAACTTCAAAAATAATTAATTGTTTAACAATTTTTTATTATAAGCAATAAATAACCTCAAATTATGCTTTTTTATATTCGCTGACAAAAAGTCTGCAGGGAATTTTACAATTCAATAAACTTTCAGTGAGACAATTGTTCGTGTATATGTCGTAGGCGAAAAGGAAAATTCGTCGTTTAGCTTAATGCCTAGGCTTTAAGCTAAACGCGGGCGAATAGGAAAATGTTCAAGTAAATGACAATTATTTTTTTAATCGCCTGAATTCGTTAGTCATTTTGCTTAATGCCTAGGCTTTAAGCTAAACGCCCAAAGAGCGCCAGGCGAATAGAAAAATTTGTATCGATTGATCAAGAATAAACATTGTAATGAAATTTCAATTATTAATAATATTATATTGCAGGTATTTTGAATTGAAAATCGTTTCTAATTTTTTGTTTATGAGTCTTTGTTTATTTTCTTTGCTTTTAAATATTCTTAGTTGACTTTTCAGTTGGCTTCAATTAATTACAATAAATTATTGCAATTTTGTGAAAAATATTTTTGTCTTTAATTTGGATTTTTTCTATTATATTACTAATTGAAATTTCATTGTTTATTCTGGATCAATTGATACAAATTTTTCTATTCGCCTGGCGCTCTTTGGGCGTTTAGCTTAAAGCCTAGGCATTAAGCTAAATGACTAACAAATTCAGGCGATTAAAAAAATAATTGTCATTTACATGAAAATTTTCCTATTCGCCCGCGTTTAGCTTAAAGCCTAGGCATTAAGCTAAACGACGGATTTTCCTTTTCGCCTACGACATATATATATATAAGGAAGTTTTTTGCAAAGTTTGAAGTAATTTCATTAAACGGTTTTGAAATTATTGAAGTTTTAAAAAAGCGTGGTGACGCGCAAGTACAATTCTCCTGCATAATATAAACTGATGTAGCATTGAAAGGCTAAGTTTTTAATGCAAACTTAAATAATAGTTAATACAAGAAAGCTTACATGAAAAGCTAACATTATTTAGTTTATTTAATGTTATTTAATAACAAAGTATTAACGTTTATGTGACATTTCATGAAAACATAAATGTTTAAAGTCGTATATTGACGTATGCTAGATTTGCTTGTAACATTTGGATTTTAATACATTTAACATTTACTTAATTTAATAAATTAAAATTAACTTTTGTAACTATAACATTTTAAAACTAATATCAATACTTTTAATAAAAAATTTTTTAATCTCACTGTTTTTGTTTAAATAAGTTTAAAAAAAACTCTTTTCCTTTCGGACTTAAATATCTAATTAAAGCTGAAACATCGTCTACTTTTGCTTTGCTTATTTCATCAGAAGGTGGTGATGGCATTTTAAGCAAATCATCGAAGTCTACCTCCGAAGTTATAATATAATCATTAACTTTCTCATTGTAATCGCGATAAACTTTTACAAGATTGTTGGGAAAATAAATAATTCTAACAGTATCTCGAATATTCAAATTTTTGGGAATCGTACACTTCTTTGGTATTAATTGTTCAAAATCGTGCATTATAATGTCAGTTGGTTTAATTAATATAAAAGGTGGGCTTCTTGCGCTTCTTATAAGTTGAAAGTAATCTTCATCGATTTCAATAACTTCAGCTTTTTTACTTTTTTGGCCATAAAGTCCGAAGTTTCGATCACATGAACAATAGCTGCATGAGAAAGAGAATTAGAGGGGTGATTATTTAATACCGCGAAAAGATTTCCCCCCAATTCAACCCACTCTCCGAATCCATTACGCGATTCCCCGAAATATTACATTTTCACCGAATTTGAACGATGACCGAGACGTTAAACAGGTTGCATATATTTAGGTATATCTCGATAATTATAAACTCAAAAACACAATTGACTAATTTTTCTACATTCGCAATGGGAAAATTTCAGCTACAAGGCGTTAAATATGCACAGTTCATTCTATTATTAAATATATATTTTTTTAATAATAAAATTATATTTCGAAGGTTTAAATATGGGGAAATCTCACGAAATGGGGACTTTTTGTTGTAAAAAAATTTATTTTTCAAATTAGTGGCACATCTTTTTCACCATTAATTATTATTCTTTGACCAAATAGAAGTATATTTTAACCGGCGTAATTCATATTTATTAATTGCTACTTTATTTAAACTATTTTTTTCATATTTATGGTTATGAGTGCAGGTAAAACGTATTTATCTTCAAGAATTTATAATATTTTACAACCCTTCAAAAAACATTTTCCTTTTATCTACCTAAACTTACATTTATCAAAAATCTACACGCGACATAGTTCAAATATATTTTTTCTTAAAATTGCACTATAATTGACTAAGTAACATTATTTCGTACAAAAATTATTCAATATTAACCACAAATATTATTTTTTGGGGTGAGCATTTTGCACACATATTTATTAACACTAAACCAAGATATTACACAAAGGTGAATACATTTTTTTAAATGTGATTTCTTGTGCTCGTCAAAAAACCATTTTTTGACAACGAGTTACGCACTCGTTGCGCGTTTTCGCAGAACGATTTCGTAGATGTTTTAAGTGGCACAATGTTCTACCACCCATAATTCTTTTTCTGAATACCTAAAAATATAAATAATATATGGGCGAATTTTAAATAATGATCGCTCAACAAGTATTATAAAAAAATTAATGATTTTCAAAAAAAGGTGAAAATGCAATTACAGTTATAAACAGCTCACTATCTCGAATATTATAATTGGCACACTTGTCTAATTTACCATTTTCGACCCTTCACAACCTATAGATAAATGAAAAAAAATCCCAAACATAAAAAAAAATTGCTCAAAAAGTTATCGCTTAATGAAAATTCGATTTTATGCGAGTTACGTCAAGAATTTCTCAATTTCTACCATTTTAATGAATAAATCAGGTGCATACTTCTTTAACTTTTACTAAAAAGAATTTTTTTTATATCTCATAGTCGCGATATAGTATTAGCAAATGTATAAAAATGTGGATTAGCAATATGGAAGCTTTTTGTGGCACATATATCTCAGAACCCAATTTGTCCCCATTTCGTGAGATTTCCCCATATATGAAAAAACATCCCCTAAATTTAACATTGATTTATTTTATTGTATTTGAGAAAAAAATTTCTGAAATTTACACATTTTTTGACTTTCTAATGTAGGCCCCCCCCCCCTTAAATAAAATAATTGTTTATTTAGTCCAAATTGGAAATTAATTTATTTTTAGGTATAAAATAAAACAATAGTTATTATAAAATACGTTTATTAACATTATTATTTAATTTATTATTACATTCGTAGATTTTTCAATAGTTGGAAAAATTAACGTTATCATTATAACGTAAATAATCAGTAAATATTAAGACATTTTTGAAAACAAGTTACACAGGTTTTTTTCTTCTGTTTAACTTAATTATTAAATAGCTTTTAGCAATTTGCTTTTGTGAAATGCTTCAATATGCAATATTCATTTTATAAAAATTTGGCGGTGCTGAAGTAGACCAAAAATCACCTTACTTTTAACGACTGATACAATCGTTTTTTATTAGATAAGTTAGTAATTTCATACGCTTCAGTTAAAATTAATTCTAAACAGATTAAAGCATATGACAACTTGCAGTTATTTTACATTGGACAAATTGCAAATTTTTTCTAATTTTTGTGTTGACAGTAATTCTGTGGAAGAAAGGCATAACAGCATAACTGCATTTGTCATGATTTCGAGATAAATTAATTTTAATGTTCTCTCACTTCTGTCAATTCAGAAAATCAACAGATTTGTTCGGTCTTTTGCATTTAGTATTATTATTTAATATATTTTCAAAATTCTTTTATAACATTTAATAAAACACACGATTTGATATAAATTTTGATAATTTTTCATCGGAATCATGAGTTTTATTGCACTTATGCGGTTATGCAAGTTCAGATTGTATATGAGTCCAACTTCAGACACTTTTAATGTCACAATTTATTTTGGTTTGATTTGTCATAATAAAAAAATTTTTCATACAAAGACAAATTAAACTATTAATTCGTTAGAAAAAATTATAAGAGTTTATTTAGTTATAAAATTTATTTTTTTATAAAATGTTTTTAATTTATTGAAAAGAGAAAAAAATTTACTTTACTGTTCAACTTGAAGAATTTTTCAATTTATTTTTTGAAATACTTTCCAAAATTTTTTAGAATAGAAATACCCTTAAAAATAAGTACATAATTAAATGCACAATTTATGCTATAAAAAATTTGTTCCAGTTTTATTAAAATAAATATATTTAATTTAAAGTACGAAAAATGTATTTTACTAAAAACATTTTATTACAAAATTCTTATTGTTTTTATTCATAAAGGTTATTTTCATTTTTAATTATGTCAATTGTTTTTTAAGCTGAATGCAGTTATGTTATTATGCTGGTCTCCTTTTGTCAAAAACGCAATTATGCGATTATGTTTTCCATTATTTTCTACATTAATAACCATTTTAATGATTTTTCAGCTATTGAACTTTGAAGAGCAATATTAAATATATACAAATCTGATGTTATCTCAAATTTGATAAAAATGTCAGTTATGCTGTTATGCCTTTCTTCCACAGAATTACAATTACATAATATATTGAATTATTGAAAAAAAATTACTATTAAAGTGAAATTTGTTACATTTGCATTTGAAATTTCCAAGTACAATTGAATTTTTATTATCAAAAGTGTATTTTTTTGGAAGGCGAGTAAAATTTCTTTAATTTATAATTTCTATTCTGTAATTAGAATATTAATTATTTATTATAATTAATATTCTGCAATTAGAATATTAATTACTTATTATAATTAATATTCTGTAATAAGAATATAAATTATTTATTATAATTATTTAAATTGTAATTTATGGACTTATGAATAGATTTTCTATTTTTTAAATTTATATATTTAAAATCATTTTTTAAAAAATTATTCTTATCTTTCTTTTCTGGAAAAAAAGAGAAAACAAAATAAAGGAAAGAACTTATTAATTTAAAATTTAGTATCCTTCACCGCAATTTTAATCTAATCAAGAATATTATTTTCTAAGATAAATTTTTCAATTTTCCTTTCGTTTCAAAGAAATACACAAATCTTTTATACATTCGTTTGAAGAAAATAATTTTTAAGATTTGGTCACTTCATCATTTCCGATTTTTCTATTTATTGCGAATAATTTTTATTAGAAGTGATTACTGTTATTATCAATTCGAAAGGAAAAATTTAATTGTCGACTTAAAAGTCCACGCTAATTATTGTAACTCTAGGCATTGATTCATTTGTATCTATTGAATCTTCACGTTCTATTGAGAAGAAAAAAGAATATATCTTGTACTAAAATAACAAATTTTAAGAAGAGAAACATCAAAGACAATCTTTCGCTGTCTCTTTATCTGTGTAAATTTCGCTAAAATCATTCGTTTGGTTCCCAACAATTTCCGTGCTTTTCGTTTTTGTCGATTGACCAAATGTTTTCGCACATACGCTCAGATTCTTTGTCAGGTCTCCAATCTCCTTGTCCTGCTCTTGTTTCTGTAGGAAGAATATTAATTTATTATTTGGAATTTTAGGGGTGTTTTTTACTCGCATTTTTTTATTTTCCCTTAAAACAAAACAAAAACTATAAAAACAAATCAAACATTTTTGTCCCTTTCTTCGTGAAGCGTTACAAATACATGAATTTATAAAAAAATGTGAGTAAAAAATACAGACTTCGCACTCGATAATTGAGGGTCCCAATCAAAGAACTGGTTATAAGTTTTTGACACTCAAAATTCTTGACCCCCCCAAAAAAAAAGGATTTCAATTTCTTGAAAACATTTCGTATTTGTATAAAGATTGCCAAAATGTTTCTTAAGAAATTGGGATTATAAACAGTTTAATTTTTGACTTACAGGGCAATGACTTCGAGCTTAAAAAAATTATAACCGGTTCTATTATAAAGCTAATTTTTGCTACTTTTCTGAAAATTAGCTTTCAAACTAAAACAAGTAGTAAAAAAGTAGCTATCGAAAAATTAAACTTGACCAAAAAAACTCATTTTAGACACTTCACAAAATTGACAAAAATTCCATTTTATATTATATTTTCCTGACTTTTTTCTAATTTTCATCAAAAATCAAAAATTTGTCGACATAATTGATTTCTTTCGAAGAATTATTTATGTAAATAATTGAATTCTTGGGAACAATTTTATTAAAATCTAAAAGAATAATTGAATTATTTCAAAAAAATTTAATTAAAATTGTATTTAAAATAATTAATTTCTTTCGAACAATTTTATTAAAATATTTGAAAATAATTAAATTCCTGAGAAGAATTTTATCAAATTTTTTTTTTAATAATTGGATTTATAAGAAAAATGTTATTATTAGTGAAATTAATTGAATTATCGTGAAGAATTGTATAAAAATTTCGTTAAGTAATTAATTTTTTGGAATTTTTTCTAAATTAGTTGAATTCTTGTAGAAATTTTATTATTTATGAAAATAATTGAATTTTGGATGAATTTTATCAATTTTTTTTTTAAATAATATTGAATTCGTTTGCAACATTTTTTGAAAATACTAGATATTGAAAATAATTGAATAGTTTTAAAGAATTTGACTATAATTTTTGAGAATAGTTTTTTGATGTCTAGTATTAGCGAATTTAAATTTTAAAGTAGTGTAAATTCTAAAAAAAAAAAAAAAGAAATAGTAGCTTTTAGTACCTAAAATCTAAAAAAGTAGTAAATAGATTTTAATATATAAATAGTTTTAGTAGATGAGTACGAAATCTGAAAATAATAAAAATTAGAAACAAACGAATAGTTACATTTTCGGGATTAATTGGTCCGGGCATTATAGATTGTGGTAGTCCAGTAGTTTGAGTGCAACTTGCCACAGCGATTAACTCCTTTTGACTTTCCCTAGCGTCTACTAAAAATATACTCTCTTTCACTTCCTTCGCGTTGTATTCATCAATTCTGCAAATAAAATTTTAGATTAGTTTATTTCGATCTCACTTTGATCATAATCTATAAGATTTTTCTTCTTTGGTCTGTTTCTTTATGTCGCGCAATAGGGTAAGTGTACTAATTCCTGCGGTATTTTGGTCAAGACGTCTTTTAACTATAAAATATAATTTTTATATTGATCAAATTGAACTTATGTCTTATTAAATTTGTAGTTTGTGTTATTAAGATATGTTTACAATAAATAACATCTCTAAAATATAATTTATTTTAATAAATTTAATGAATTAAAAATAATATTCAATGCGTTTAATTCTGCGCGTTTGAGTCAGTTGCTGCGCGAATTCAATTCCTGTGGGTCAGTTTCTGCGCATAATTTTGTGCTTATGTGTATAATACCGCAAACTACTATGAAATCAAAGTGGGACAATGATTTTAATCAATGTTTAATTGAATAGAATATAAATTTATTAAAAATAAATATATATCATATATTAACAAAAGTAACTAATAATTTCTGAATTATCACATTTTTGAAACATTTAGTTAAAACTTAATAACAGAATTCTTCCTTAATTAATTTATGTATTTATTAAATTTTCTTTAGTTTTTCCTCCATAATCTTCATTTTTTCTTTCATTTTCATAATTTTTTCTTGCTCTTTTTCAAAATAGATAGTCTATTGTAACCAGTCTTAGTTGATTTTCTGAGGGCGCAGTAATTAAATCAAGCCCAAATTCTGTGATAATTACTACTCTTAAAAATAAAATATAATAACAGACAAAAATAAAGTAAAGTTTAATTTTTCTTTTAAAACAAGGTTTTCTTTATCTAAAATCATCATAATAATAACCACTTTAAGTCTAAAAACAATAATAAAGCCTTTTTTATGTAGGTATTTTTGCACCGCCAGCAAAGTTAGCAATGAAAATAAATAAAACCTTGCACACGTCAACTTTTAATTAAAATAAAATACATAAATATTAAGTTTTGGTATATACTTCCTATATCTATTTTAAAACTTACATCGTTAAGTAATTTTTAAAAAAAATTTCAAAATTATTTGTGCCCTGAACAAATGTATTCACTTAAATTATTAAAATGCCGCAGAAACTGAAGCACCCGCAGCAATTGACGCACTTACCCTATAAACGAAATTATGATTTGGAATTGAAAAACAAAACGTACTTATCGTAAATAACGCCGTGTAGACCAAGTCTCTTTAAATGTTGAATTGTGTCCTTATCATTGTTATCATCCCCCCAACAAAAGATTATTAGTCCAGCGTTTCTCACTAATTTCACCTGAGAAGGATCTCGTAGAATGTCCTCAGTGTGTACATTAATTCCTAAAATATCGGCTGCCAAAGCATGTCTCACGGCCATTGGTATTGTTTGACATCTCGTGTCGTGGTACATTGGATATTTAGCTGTTACTCCTTGCGTTAGAAAAACAACAGGATATTTGTTTTGTTTGAGTCTTATCATTGCACAAATATCCGGATTGAATGATGAGAAGACTATTTTTCTTTCGCAACCATATTCTAGAACAACTTTGAGAATAATGTCCAAGTATACATTCAAATCGAAAGGATGATTCAATTCAAAAGTGCCATCCTGAAAAAATGTAGATTTAAACTTATAACTTCGTACAGTTGTTGGAAATTGTAAAAATTCTTTATGCTTTCTGGAGAAAGTGAAAAATACCTTTAATTGCATTGTCCATTTTATTTCAATATTACAACCGACGTGTTGTTCAAGTACTTGAAGTACAGATTGAAGAGTTGGAAACGGTTGATGATCTTCGAGATCTTCGTCGAAAAATTTGGCAGCCTTTTCTCGAGCTTCCGCCAAGTGGTAGACCTTAAAACAAATTTTTGTCGTTACAAATTTTTCTCCCTTTTGGAATCATTAATCGAAGAATACAAATCAAATTGTTCACTAAATCTGAGGTCTCTGAAGTTAGCATCGACGAAATAACAATTAGTTGCACTCGGGGAATTTTTGTCAATGAATCTATTTTTAAAAATTGATCCAAGCCGAAAATTAATTAGTTGTTAATTGTAAATTGGACTGAAAATCTTCACAAACGCTATGGCTCACCAGATGATTAACAGTATGTTCATCTTTATCTGTGAAATGTAGCACTTTACCCAATGAGTCGCCAGGGTAAGAAAAATCCTTAAAAGAAAGGGGACGCGGCATTTTTTAAATTTGTAATTAATAATCTAAACCACTAAGCCCAAAACAAACCATAAACTAAAAAAACAGTTCAAAAATTCTACCGAAATCTGCATTTCTGTTTAATCTTTTTTAATCCATTTCGAGTTTAGGTAAAATTTCATTTGTTTTGGGTCAGTTTTTTCTTTCTTACTTACTTTTCTTTTTATTTGTTTACTTCTTTTATTTTTTTAGTAAGGAACCATGATATCATACGGATTGTACGGATATCAGTAGTTTCATACGGATTATTGAATGGTCAAATTGCACCAAATTGTGCAGAATTGTACTCACTTTAAGAAGATGTAGTTGCTCTAAAGTAAGGTCCTTAACGGGTATTTCAAGCATGTCCATAGCCTCTATTTGCTTCTTCCGTTTTAGTGAAATTGATACATAAAAATCGTGATAGATGACGGGGATGAAATCCTTTGATAATTGGACATCGAATTCCACCATATCTGCACCGTGATACGCAGCAGTCTTTAGAGATGCGATCGTATTCTCACGAACATTTGCGCAGCTATTTAGAAAGATATTACATAGTTAATGGCTAATATTATGGCTAATACAAAACAAAAAAAATCTAATTAGTACTGCATTTAATCTAGTTCTTAATTAGGGTCTTCATAATTATTACTTCTTCATTTCAAATTTGAATGATGTTCCTAAACCCCTGTGGCCAACGTCCAATCCCGACCATCGTTTTTCCCAGTGTTTCGCATAAGAAATACTCATGTCCCACGTTTGGTCTGCGATCGGCCTTATAGTTACGTATTCCACTGTTAGTTGTCCTGAAATTTATTAGAGAAAATACAAATATGTATAGTTGTTTGTATCGTATTTTCCTTGCTTTTACGTTAATAGAAAAAGGCTATTTCTTAATTCTCTGCTGATGCTAACAACCGTTATGGTCAAAAATCGTCATTTTTGACGCCTGGTACACTGAAAAAAATGTGGGTGTTCAGCTGCACCAGCTAGTGACGCAGCATTTCCAAAATGAGAATTTGTGCTGCCCTGTGTTTGGGTCCGCTGCGTTCCTGTTGTGGGTTCACTGGTGACCCACATCGGTAAAGATGTTAGCTCATCAGACTCGGGCAACAGCCTGTGAGACATTTGCGTAACCTCTGTGGGTACGCTGCGATCCCACAAAGCGAGTATCAGTGCTCTTAAAAGAAAGAGAAAGCAGCGCCACCATGACTGAGACGTCTCGGCGCTCAAATTTTTTTTCAGTGTATAGGGACTATGCACGGAAAATATTTTGGGTGCGCAGCTGTCTCACTTGTAGGTACCGCTGCGCTACATCAGCTGTGGGAGCTAATCGCTTCCACTGAGGATGCCCTGGAACCCCACAGCAGACGAAAAACTCCTCTATCGCTCTACTTGTCGCTGAGGTAGCGTAGCGGTACCTACAAGTGAGACAGCTGCGCGCCCAAAATATTTTCCGTGTGGGAGTTTCGTTCTATAGCCATAGAGTGGGGATAAGATAGCATCAACAGAAGATCAAACAATTTTTTCGAAAGTTTCAGATTTTCAAAGTTAAAAACCCCAAACAATATTAAAATAACCTTAAGATTATTTGCTACTTAGGTATCTTTCTCTGCAGCGCGTCATATTTGTTTGGTTTTGTTTATTGGTCTGTTGAAAAATTTACTAACCTATTGGTCTGTGTTTTGTGCTGGTAATTGGCACGGTTATAATTCCAACACTAGATTGTATGGTAGATGGTAAAATGTAGCTGAAGCCAATGTGATTCGGTGGTTCGTCAGGACATCTTGAATTGTACACATAGTAATCTACTAAATATGCCTGAAAAAAGACACTTATTAATAAAACTGAAGAAAGACGTAATTAATTTTCACAACAGTTAAAATTTAAACGTTCGTAAATTCTCAGTTCATTCACTAATGAAACATTAACCAAACTCAATGATCACTGATTAAAGTGCTTCATAAGCATAATCTGCATTTTTATTTCAGTAATTTTTGAAGAAAAATTTCAAATGTTTTTAGTATTGCAGACATAATGGAGATATTGCATCGAAATAAACACGATCTTTAATCATTTTTTAACTGAATAAAGAAAAAGAAAAAAAGTAGGAAGTAAACTATATCTCGTATGTACTTTTGTCCTTTCTTTTCGTATATGAAATCGCAAAAATATGGCAGGAGCAATAAAATTGATAAAACTGACAAAATCTGAATACGAAAAATAATTTATTTCCTAGAATAATCAAGCAATGAATCAGACCAATACTATTTTTTTCACTGCTTGGTGACGCTTTGTCCGCAACACCTGCCAATTTGTTAATTATTAAATTCTGTGTTTAAAAATTCATATTCAGAAGTTCGACAGCGTATTCTGGCATTGGCTGCGTGGCCATGTTTAGGAATTTGTTGATTAGAGCTAGAAAATAGTAGTGATACACTAAATAGGACTGATGGGAATCTCACCATTTTCGACGCACAGAGATGGAATCGAGATGTGACAGTGTTGATATCGCTAATTTATTGGGAAAAACTTGGAGAAGGCTTTATTGTCTCGCATAAATCATTCTCTTTGTTTCTTATTGTTTTCGTGACAATGCCATTCAGATTAAAAAGCAATTTGATGGATTTTAATTTCAACTAATGATTGGTAATTGAAATTCATTGAAAGGTTATTTGATGAATTCAATCTTTTTTGATTAGAATTTAAAAGCACGACTTTTGATTGATGAGAGTTTTCGCCCTGAAGGATGGGATTGGTGGGTGAACGACAATCAAAACCATCAAATCTCTGTGAAGTCATGTGAGCACAGACGTTAAGTAGTAGACGATGCTTTAGCGCATCAGTTTGCAATGTTTAGCATCATGTTTTTATTTTGCACCAGTCTTGCTTTGTATAAGTCAACACACGTTGTCATCTTCCGTTAATCCTCATCAAGGGAGACATCTCTTGTTTCCACTTTGGCAATAACTGCTGAACAAGTTTAAATAAATTTTTACAAAGTAATTTGTGACACAAAGTTAGAAGAAGACGTGGCCGGCCTACTCGTGGTCTCTACTGAAAACTCACAGGGTTTGGTCAATGCGTATTCTTTTTTTTATTTATGATGAATCGCCACTCATTTGTTATTTATTGCTCTGCCATATAGTAACGATCAAATACTGTTTGTTTGAAAAAGGAAAGTTTGTTTCTTTTTGAAAATTGTAATTTAGACTAACTAACTAATTTCAAATTTCAATATTTTGCGAATTGATTGTGAAAATTTACTAAACGAGTATTTAGAAACTTCGAGGATGGGAGAAAACTTTTAAACTTATTATCTTCACAATAATTTCGATACACAGTGTTATGTTGTTTTTAGCGATGAAGCAAGCAATAAATATCAATCACTTGGCAATCCAATGAGCTGTGTATCTACATTACTGTGAGTCGATATTTACTTACAATTATCTCAGGATAACGAACAGCCACATTGAATACGACAAAATCGTCTTCACTGTACTCGCGACCAAATTGCTCTTGGTACTTGAAGTGAGCTTCTTCGTCATTCATCGCCTAGAATAAAACATCTTTCATTTTAGTTTGTTTCCTAAATTGTCAACTTTTCGAAATTTCATTGGAAAAAGTTTGTGTTATTTTAAATTTTAATGTTCTTGAAGTTAGCGTCGACGCTAAAAGATTAGAAAAAAATTAGATTCGACTTTAAGATTAGAAAAGTGCCTTGAAAGAAGTGTTTTTTGGGGCTCAACGTCGACGCTAATGTCAATGACAGAAACTTTAACTCTCTGCTGTCGCTAACGACCGTTATAGTAAAAAATCATCAGATTGTTTGCTTGGTGGGACTATGGAAGTTATGGTTCTAGATTAGTTGGTTGCTTTTACGGTGATAAAAGTTAGGATAATTTAGCATCGACAGAGGATTAGATGTTAACATTCTGAACGTACAGCAATTTCTGTAATACTGAATGCAGGGTGATCCACAATGTCTTGTGTATCCATTGAGAGACTGTCGTCCACACACTCTCCTTCTAGGTGTTGCATCTCGAGGGAATTATGTTTCACCAAATTGACGGGTGTCATCTGTAAATAGTTGTAAAATTTTCACTTGGTGTCCTCCTTCTTTCTTTTCTTTGAAAATTCTCATTTTACGTACTTTGATGTGAACTTTTCTATTTTGTAAACGATTTTTCCAGACTTTTATTGGATTATTGAATACTTTGAATTGAATGACGGTCTCTTCGGTTAACCATCCGTTTTCTATTTTAAAGTATCCATTGTTGTATCCAAACTGATCTGGTTCTGGCAAGGAGTTTTCTGCTATGTTGCTAAGTTCTGAAATTGAGAATAGTGGGAATTATTTTGTTTCATGTGTTTAGAAAATGCGACGCGACAGGAAGAAAGAGAACTACAGAGGAAAAGCTTCTAGGTTGTTTTTTAAGTGCTTTTAAGTGGTTCAAACTAATTGTGGTGGCGTTAGTGGACTAAAAAGTGCTTCTTCTAATGGCGCCTCTAGCGGTAGCGTCAGTGAACTAATTTTTCTCTTTAATTCGTTTTAAAGGCGTTTTTTCAGTGGCGACTCTAACTATGACGTTGGTTAACTAAGTTACTTTTTTTAAATTCTTTTAGCTGTCGAATTTTTCTTTTCCTTCACATCGCATCATGGAAACTTGGAAATATAAGTTCTCTGAAGTTAGTCTCGACGTTGAGGGTCAAAATAATAGTTTTTCGACCCTGAGTGTTTCGACTCTAACTTTAGGAACATGAAAAACGGAAAATTGTTTCACTAACTGTCTTTTTTAATCAGTCTAGGCGTCATGTGAGTTTCCCATTTGCGAATAATAAGTGTCTGTGCTGGATTCTTGACTTCATTTAATTGGCAAACAACGGCAATGAAATAACGAAAATCCACATTTACATCGGTTGGCAATTCGATAGTTTGCGAAAATATTTGTCCTCTGAAATCGAAATATTTTAAAATTTTAAGGAAACTATATTTTTTTGGAAGGGGAGAATATTAAAAGAATTATAAACTTACTCGTCAGGTTCGTTAAGTAAATTATCTCGCGATGAATTTTGATCATTGTTCGTGTCTCCTAACGATCCTCCATCGTTATTTTCGGACAGTTCTGGTGAATTTGAATGACTATTTTCTGACTGAAGCGGAATAGCTTCAGTATGATTCCAAGATCCTAATTCAGGAACGTTGCCCACTACGTAGACATTTTCGTTTTTCGCCAGACCAGTCACCTTTGTAATTACAAAAAGTATAAATCAGAATAATGGAAAGTTCATAGAAAAGAATTTTATTTGAAACAGCTAACAAATTTCACTTTATTAGCAAAATTTTTAGTTGTTTCAGTTAAAACTTTCGCTATTTTAGAGAATTTTATCGCTGTTCCAGGTATTTATAATTTATCCATGTAGACCATGTTAAATAATTTTATTATTTTCAAAGCAAGATACCTATGAAGCAGATCGTTTTAAGATTACATTTGTGCTATTTTTGTTATTTTTACACCTCAAGTAAAAGTTTCTGTTTAATTGTGTAAAACTAAAAGCAGTTTTTATTAATTATTTTAGATCTAATGAAGACTAAAAAAAACAAAGATTTATATTGAGAGTTGATCCTCTGTTGTTTATTTTCATTCCAAAAATTACAAACATAACCTACAATTTTTTGTTTCTTAGGTACCTTTCTATATATTTTTTGAAAATTGGAGCTCAAAAAATTGTTTACCTGAACTCTAAACATCCATTCTTTCTTTGAACCCCTCATGGTGAAGATTTCTTGAAAGTCAAAACTATTTTAATTCCCTTATGATTTTTTTCTGTTAGGATCCTTTCCTTTCTAAAAATCACAATTGATCATTTAATTTAATTTTTCTTTTTGGGAAATAATGTATACTTTAAAATCGTTTATTGAAAATTAAACTTTGTAGTTGCTGTCAAATTTCTTCGATTTTTTATCTTACTTGTAATTTTAATTTTTGTTTAAGCTAGAATTTAAATTAAAAAATTTAATTAAATATTTGGAACATATGGAGTGACTTTCAAATAACTGTGATTTTTTGAATAAGACGTTTTCCCGTTAAAATAGTGAACCAAAATTGGCTTTCATTACATATTTCAGTACATTTTTGTTATTGAAGTACATGTTCAAAAGGCAACTACAAGATCTTAAATATTTTTAAAGTTACGATGAAAAACGCAACAGTGACGTGCCACGGTCCTGACATGTGTGTCACAGTTAGAACACGTAAATAAATAAATAATCAAATAAATATTTTCTTTTCAATATTCTCACTTCAAAATAATGTCAATAGAAGTCAATTAAAATAAACTTGAGTAATAAAATCACAATTTCTTTAATATATGGAGGTACAAAATAGTTAACAATTGGAAACATGAAAAAAGTGCTTGCATACGTAGAATATCATTATAATAAAATAACTTTTATATGTAAAACATCTAGTTACACTTGGCCTCCAAAGTGCTTAAAAGCTAGTTTCAATATTTGATCACGTGACAATTTCGGAACAAAATTTTAAAAAATCGTATGCCACGGACCTGACAATGATACCCTATTTTCTTAGTTTTAACTATGATAATAATTAGTTAATGAACTGAATATTAAGTATCTTCCACAACAGACTTCCATTAAAAGGTTTATGAAGTAATTGTCAAAAAAAAATAGTTTTAGTAGTTATTTATCTTTAAGGCCATGCAAATATGACAGTTATCTGGAAATCACTCATATACGAACTTAATTAAAATGTAATTTGTATTCTATAATTAAAAAAAAATAAAATTACAAGTAATATTTCATTTCAATTTTAATTTAAATTTTCTTGATTCAAGTGAAATAATGTGGTCGTTATCTCATTTTCATAAAAGATTATTTGATATTGACAATAATATTTGACGACTGACGCAGAGAAAATTTGTCACATGATGAAAACGTCAGTAAACGAGCCATTTAAAAAAATGTATTGTAATATTAAGAGTTTCACTCACAATGATATTTCTTGGCAATGATACGACAGTTTCTATATACACAGTGAAACTATTAATAAAAAATCTCTCTTCCGAAATAAAAAAACTCTACATAGAAAACAAAATTTTTATCTCTCTGAAGATTTTTAAATAAATAAAGCATTATTTAGACAAAATTTTAAACGATTATTAATTTATATTCAACAGTTTTTAAATTAAAAACTTTTTAAAGTTTTTGTTTCCTTTTTTTAATGACTTTTTTTATAAGACAGAAGAAAAATTTAACATATTTTTATTTTTTTCATTGTTTTTTTGCATTTTTTTTTAATTATTCTCTTTTAATTAACAATTGACAAACTAAATTAAAAAAAAAACAGTGTACAAACAATTTACAAGTTAATGATATTGTTAATTGTTTGATTGGGGTACAAAAGTTCCAAAACGGAAGTTCCAATCGAAAAGTTCCAAGAAAAAAGTTCCAAAATGAAAATATCCAAAATTTATTTTTCCACAGTACAAAAGTTCCAAAATCCAAAATGTCCAAAATAATAAATTTACCAAAGTATAAAATTTCCAAAATAAAAAGTGTTTGTTTGAAAAAATAAGTTTAAAAATGTAAATTGTAGCCGATGGGCCTAAGATATCCGAGAATGTCATTATTATCCACACAATCTTGAAAATTTAGAACGATATTAAAAATCCTGTCTTCGGCGATTACCGCGAACATAAGTAACCTATAATGTTAGTTAATTTTAGTAATATTAGTTATATTTATTTTTTTTATTTTTAAAACAATTAAATATATTTTATATAACTTTCCATCCGAATGCTTGCAATATAGAAATCCTTCGATATGTAAATAATTTTTTTTTCCGACTTGTAATATTTCTGCCATAATTAATCAAAAATATAATTTCACTGTTCACTATTTTCTAATTTAAATAAAGTGTTTCATATACTTTACAATTTAATACAATTTCACTGATTACTATTTTTAATTTGAATACAATTTTTAATTTCACAACATGATTTTGGAATGAGCACACGTCGAAGGACAATTTATGAAAATAACAACGATAATAACAACTGAAAGTTTCCTGACGTGAAGTTGTACTTTGAAATTTGAAAAATATTTTTAAAAAACAATGTTTGGAAAAAACGACGATTGGAAAAAAATACTTTGGTAAAAATGGTCTTTGGAAAAATATTTTGGAAAAAATTTAATTTGGGAAAATAATAATTTGGGCCCTTTGGAATTGGAACTTTTGTTTTGGAACTTTTGACTCCATACCAATTGGATTGACTACTTTTTTCTGTAAAATTTAGTTTATCAATTGTTTTTTTATTTCTATACTATAGTTAAATTATTATTATAAATTATTATAATTTAATATTTATTAACAATTAATTATTAATGTTAATGTTAATAGTTTGACTTTTTTTATTCTTTAAAATTTAGTTTGTCAATTAGTAATTGAAAATGAATTGATTAAATTATTATTATAAATTATTATACATCAATATTCATTATTGTCATTGTTAATTTTATTGTTTGATCACTTTTCCCTTTAAAATGTAGTTTATCAATTGTGAGTTTAAAAAAATACTTATAAAAAAGTAAAAAAGAGAAAAAACCAATGACATATAAATAAAAGTATAATAGAAACGTCAAATCAAAATTATCACGTTGTGAAAGTTTGATTATTCAAAAGATCTGTCTATATTCTCAACAATAAATTGACTTATTTCCTAATTGCTCAATTGAATAATGAATTTCCCTTTCATTTATCGGAATTAGTCGCATATTGTGTTATTTTATAAATAATTTGAGTAGTAAACTTTTTTTAAATTTAATTATTATATTAATTTATTTTTTAGTTTTTAAACCCATTTTTGAGAAATATGTATTGGAGATTAAATTTCAATGTTGAAACAATTCAAGTAACTTGCTTACTTGCGATATTGATAATATATTGCGCCATTTAATCAAGAAATAATTCAAAACTACGCATTTTGTTTCGATATATAAGTTACTTTCTGATTAAAGATTAATATGTCACTTTGAAAAAGAGGAATTTATAATTAATTATAGAAATATTTTACCAAAATTACAAATATTTTATTAATTAGAAAATAATTAATTTCTTTAGAAATTAATTATCTTAAAAAAGAAAAGTCAAGTTTTAATAGTGTATGAACGTGTTTTTACTAATTTTTATAAAAAAAATCTATTAAGATTTATAGATTAACATTACTAGCTTGAAATAAAAAATTAATTAATTAATTCAAATAAACGATTACTTATCTACATATTATCAAATAAATATTTACTTGAATCAAATAATTTTTATTTGTGTCAATTAAATATTAGGGTCATTTGGGGTAAATGTAAACAATTTCATTAATTTGGCAATGTAAAATTACATAGAAGAGGAAATTAGGTCCTCTTTTTAAAAAAAAAAATTTTTTTAAATTTGATCAGTTTTTAAAAATATTTTTAGGTTCATCCGCCATTTTGAAAATTTGAAATTTGACTTCAAATTCGTATTCAGCGACCTTAAAAACCCCTGAGTAGCCAGATTCAAGCAAATTTGATCAATTTTTAAAAATATTATTTGTAGGTTCATCCGCCATATTGGATCCACCATTTTGAAATTTAAAAATTCGATTTTAGATTCTTATTCAGAAAAATAAAAAAAAAAACTTCTTTTTACCAAGTTGAATGAAAATCTATTAAAATTTGTTCAAGTAATTCAAGTTTTTACATTACTAGTTTTGTAATGGTTAATTGTTTATTTTATATGATACATTATCAGTCAACTGGTTGATTTACTATACATCTACGAAGAATTTTTTTTTCAGTTTTTCCATCCCTTAAAACAGTAGTATACTTGAAATAACTTGTTTCTTAAACCTCGCTTAACTACAGTGGTGTTTACATGTACCCTGAATTTTAGGAAAATTTCAAAATCTCGGGGTAAATGTAAACAGTCAGTTTTAGGCGATTCAGGTGCATCAATATTTTTTGGTACCTCATCAAATTTTTCTAGGGAACTCTAGTAACAAGTTCATGCAAAAGAAATCCGTCCGTTTTAAGGCCTAAGCACAACTACTTTGCGAATGTCGTTCGCGAATGTAAAGCATGCGTTAGAAAAGGACACAAATATATCTCTGTTCTTTTCTAACCCATGCATTGCGTTCGCGAACGACATTCGCAAAGTAGTTGTGCTTAGGCCTATACCTTTTAACAAAAAAAAACTAATGTTTTTAGTGAAAAATAGATATTCCGTTTACATTTACCCCAATAGACCCTATTTAATTATAATTATTTTATAAACTTTTTATTGAATTATTATTCTGAAATTATTGGTTCAAATATTTATATTACTTAAATAAAAATTTAATTGATTCAAGTAAATATTTGTTTGATAATAGACAAGTGATTTGTTATTTAAATCAAATAATTTTTTTTCATTGTAATAATACAGGGTTAATTGGATTGTTTCTTATTTTTTTACTGATTATCTAGTGGGTTTAATCTTAAAAGTGAATTTTATCATTTGCGTAGTTTTTTGAAACAATTATTATCACGTGCCATAATTAAATTTATTACGTGGTTTTAAAAATAATTGCTGTAAGTGCAAATGTAGAGCAGCAATTTGATTTACCCAGACATATGTTTATTATTTTATTTTACTCCAGTTTTTTCAATTCCCTCTCTCCACTTAATTGAAAATTTTCTACTAGTACAATATTTGTATTTGGCACAAAATTAATCATCATTTTCATACAAAAAATAACAAAATACTTTTTAAAAAAATACTTTCAAGTAAATTTTAGTATAGCAGTAGGTATTTTTGTAAATAAGTAAAAAAAAGTATAAATATTTTTTTATTTTTTATTTCGTGAAAAATTAAAGTAGAAAATTAAAAGAATTATTATTATTATTATTATTATTAAAAAGGAAGGAAAACTTGATAAAAACTTACGTAAAAACACTTGTCACTGAGAAAATCTTTGGGCAAGAAACTTGGGGGCAGGAAAGTGCCTTTTGCACTTTATTAACTTCTTGTTATTTAACAATAGTTCGATATCGTTTGCGTAGTGAAAATTTTGTGGAATTTTGCATTATCACATTTGTTCAGCGAACACAAATTGACAGTTAATATTTTCTGATTGCTATTGAACTAACGAAGCAGACCAGCTGCTTTTCACACACACACATAATGAAAAACTGAAATTCTAAATGAAAATTTCTCCATAATGCTATGCAGTGTTGTTGAGAATCGAACAATGACTAAACAATTTGGCAACGTCGCCATCGCCAACTCTCGCGAGGTACGTGCAATGGCGCTGCGGTCGATATTTTCGAACGTACCATGTGATTTAAAAATTCTTGGGTTATAATTTTCGCTTAAATTACACAATTGCTATTGTCTTCGTTGAAAATAGTTAATGAAATTATAAAATTTGGATAGATTTTGTTAATTTTTGGAATTTTTGCTTAAGTTTTTTTTGTATTATGAATTGAGGATTACTTGCATATAATTCACATTTGTTTATATTATTATTGTATACTGAAATGATGAAACAATTGAGGAAGTTAGACAGTTAGTCGCTCAATAATCGCGTGTCGATCGTATTTTTTTTTTGCTATTTATGCAATAATATTCCTTTTTGGTTCATGAGGGTAAAATTAAGTAATAATAACTTCCAGTACCACAACTTTCGGTATTTTTAGAAAAATTGTAAACATTACTTTGCAAAAAAAATTTATTTGATTGAAATAATTATCATTCAGATATGTAACAATAAATACATTATTTGTCTGTTATCAAGTATAAATATTTATTTAAATCAAATAATTTTCATTTAAATCAATTACAGTCGAACTTGTGGGAATGCAACTCTATTTTTAAAATTTTTTGTATTCAAAAATGTCTAACGAGAATTATTTTCGCATTGTTTCAGAATATTGTTAAAGAAATATTACAAACTTAAATTCAAATAATATTTATTGGAGTCAATTAAATGCATTTGAACCAATAATTTCAGTATTTGCTTCAAATCTCGCTTCAAATGCCATTTAATTGACTCCAATAAGTATTATTTGATTCAAGTAAATAAATTTTTTTTTCAGTGTACAATTTATTTACTGTAATAAAATTTAAAAGAGCGAGTTGCATTCCGACAGGTTTCACTGTTGTAAATACTAATTGCTTCGAATACTGAAATCATTGTTCAATTATTGGTTTTATTTATCGAATGTTTTAAAATTATCAAAAGTTTTTAAGGGAACAGAAAAGATTCAATTTATTGAGAAATTCATTTTATTGAAAGTTTAAATATCGAGAGTTGACTGTATTTGCTTTAAATACTGAAATTATTAGTTCAAATTTAATTATTGCTTTAAATTTCTTTGATTTAAATTAAAATTATTTGATTCAATAGTAAGTATTTATTTGATAATAGACAATTAATCGGTTATTTAAATAAAAAAAATTTTTTGTATTATTCATATGAAAAGTGTTTGGAAAGTGAAAAAATTAAAGTATTCCTAAAATTTACTTCGTTATTTTTTTCTTTTTTTGTAGAAATCGAAAAAGAGGATTAAATTTTGTTACATAATATTTTTAATAATACTATAATAATACTTAATTTGTTAACAATTAACGTTAACAGTTTATTCGATTATCAATGATGCAATAAGTGTATAGAGTCAAAAGTCATTATGCTTTCTTGAAAATCGCCTGATCCTATTTAATTATCTGAATAAATTTTTATCAACCTACTCACGCCTCTGTAAATAAGATATAAATTTCTTTTTGTTTCGAATAAACCAACAAATGAATATAATTGCATATAAAAAAATTTATTTTTACACTGAAAAAAAAATTATTTGATTGAAATAACGGATTATTTTACACCCAGAGAAAAATATTATTTAAACCAAATATATTTTATTTGAGTTAAATAAACGTATATTTGTCTCAGAACCAACTAGACTTTTTATTTCTTTTAAATAAAAATTTTATTCGACACAAATAAAACATATATTTGAGATAAATAAAATTTTATTTAAACCAAATAAAATTTATTTCAAACAAATAAAAAGTCTAGTTGGTTCTGAGACAAATATACCATTTCTCTGGGTGTACTATTATCAATTAAATATTTACTTTAATCAAATAATTTTAATTTGAAACAATTAAATGGTTCAATTGAGGGCCTGCATACAATACCAACCGCTGCGCTTGGTTGTAGGGGATAGTACCAGTCAGGTAGCAGTGAACTATACGGCCCAGAGGCTCTCACTGCTGTCTGGCTGGTATTATCCCCTACAACCAAGCGCAGCGGTTGTTATTGTATGCAGGCCCTCAATTCATGTTTATTTCGAACACTTAAATTATTGGTTCAAATATCATTTAATTGATTAAAAAAAAATATTATTTTGATTCAAGTAAATAGTTTTTTGATAATAGACAATCGGTTATTTAAATCAAATAAATTTTTTTTCAGTGTAAAAATAAATTTTTTATTTATTTAAAAGATAGTTGTTCGATAAAATAAATTCAGGAAAAGATATATTTGGCTCAGAAACTACTAAATTATTTATTTGTTTTAAATACATTTTATTTGGTTCAAATAAAAGTTTTAATTAGTCGAAAAAATTTTTTCTGTTTTCCTTTGCCGAAAGTACTGTCTTCCCGGTCTGATTTGGCTCCGGGAATAGCGACTTTTGTGGCCGGCTCGACAGACCCAACGAGCGCTCTGATTGGTTACAAGAATTTCAACACACCTACATGTTAGCATAGCAACTACACAGACACGTTACATACAGAGCTCACGTTTTGAAAACAACTGACAGTCATCAAAATAATGCATGAAATTTCTTATTTTCTTTTATTATTTTTTAATTATTAAATATTTATTTGTAAAAGAAAATTTCTTGTTTACTATTTTTTAAATTTTACTTACAATTATTTTTTACTTATAATTTTTTTTTCATGCCCGCCCCGACCAGCTAAGTCTCGGCTTCGCCTCGACTTTGCAAAAGTCGGGCGGGCAACTTATTGAGCTATTTTATTATTCAAACAATAATTATTTAACGTACTTTCGGCTGGGGATACAGAAAAATTGTATACGACACACGGCCAGAAATTTGGATACTCTAGCGAGCGTGATATATAAAGCCTCGGCTTCGCCTCGGCCTTATATATCACGCCGGCCAGGAAATCCAACTTTCTGGCCTAGTATCGTAATATACTATTTATTTAAAACAAAAAAAATAACCTAATTGGCTCTGAGACAAATAAACTTTTATTTAATACAAGTAAATTATATTTGGTTTAAATAAAATTTTTCTCTGAGTGAATATTTACTTGAATCAAATAATTTTTATTTAAGTCAATTAAATGGTATTTGATTCAAATACTGTAATTATTGTTTCAAATACAATTTATTTGTTTTAAATAAAATTTATTTGATTCAAGTAAATATTTATTTGATGTTTCTCTTTGTGTAGGGGAGAGTGACACCCAGAGAAAAATGTTATTTAAACCAAATATCTTTTATTTGAGTTTAAATAAACGTATATTTGTCTCAGAACCAACTAGACTTTTTATTTGTTTTAAATAAAAATTAGGCACACGCCTCAGGATAATTTATCACTAAATACTTTGGTTAATTTACAAAGCATTTCTTTTAAACAAATATTATTTCTCAAAATGGACGTGGGGCAAACCGGCCATAATATATTTTTATTGTATCAGTTTCACGAAAATTATTATTAATTAAAATGTTTCTTTCGTTAAAATATTTACTTTCAATGAAAAATAATTATCTTCCAATGAGAATTAGACCCTTTAATATTGTTTCCCTGATAATTTCGAACATTTTTGCTTTGTTATTAAAAAAAATATTTATTTCATTAAAATTCAATCCTGTATTATTATTACATTATTACAACCATTGTTTACATGCTTCTTTATGTTTGTTGTTATTGAATAGATTATACAAATGCAATATTATAGATAAAAAACCTGGCTGGCCGGTTTACCCCAGGGGGTGGGGCATACTGGCAAGTTTGCAAATTTTTTTAAAGTTAACACAGCAACTAAACAATAAAAGATAGAGTATATGTGTCTCTGGGAAAAAGTTGCGCAATTAAATGATCTTTCAAATAAATCATCGAAAAATGAAATCGGTTGATTCATTTAGTCACAAGAGTAAAAAAATCGTAGGTATAGCCGGTTTGCCCCACTCTCCCCTACTCAACATTTTTATTGTTTTTGAATAAGTTTTATTTGATTCAAATAAATTTTGTTTGATTGCAATAAATTTATTTGCATTCAAATAAATTTCATTTGGTTCAAATAAATTTTATTTTGTTTAAAAAAAATAATATATTAAACTCAGAAACAAATTTTATCTGAACCAAATATAATTTATTAAGTTAAATAAAAGTATATCTATCTCAGATTAATTAAATTTAAAGGAGAACTAGAAAATTTCGTAAAAGATTTTATTTAAACCAAATATAATTTATTTGAGTTAAATACACTGAAAAACAAATTTATTTGATTCAAATAACCGATTACTTAACATCTGAAATAAATAATTATTAAGATAATTAATTTATTAATTATTTATTTTTTATAAGAGAATTTGACATTTTTATCATTTGTTAAATCACTTCTACCAACCGACAGATTAGCTCAGTCGGATAGATGCCTCGCTTGGCGGTCGTTTAAGAACCGAGGGTATAAGTATCCTTGGTTCGCGCCCACTTGGCTTGGTATTTTTCCGGCACGTGAGACAATCTGAGCGGGAGGTTTGACGTCGAGGTATAATGATGTGCACCGTCGATTATTGTCCGGTACACACCATTAGAACTCGACTGTCGATAAACCGGTTGTACTCAGGAGAGGTTTTCTACAGTTTCCCTCTTCTCTGGCGAGAAAACCCATTGACGGGTGGTCCAGGCGTAATGCGAGTACTCCTAATAAAAGTCGGCTGTAGACGCAAATTAGGTTAATATATAGAAAATTTATGTAGAATGGTTATGCTTAATCCAAAAAAAGTATTTCTCGGGGACTCTTGTCGAAGTGCGTAAGGCCAATAGGGCAGGAGCAGGGTAAGTGTGTCAATTGTGGCGGGTGCTCCAATTATAGCGACTTTGTAAAAAATAGAATTTATTTACTATTTTAGAATAATATAGTTATTTGAAAATGATAGAAAAAGTTATTTTCGACCTTACTCGATATAATTGTACGAAAAAAAACACATTTGAACTATTATTGGTTT